AGAGCTAGAAATGTGTTGATGTATTTTACAACTACATTAGTAAAAACAGTTCAGAAATCCTGAACTGAAAATGGTGACCCAGCTACAACACCTCTGAGAATATATCCAAAAGACTCCATTGTGTGTTATTTGGGGTGGCACAGCTCTGGGACCAGGCTGGCAGGAAAAACTACTCGTAACAAAATGGCGCCTTCAACGTGGCTAATAAGAACTTCACCTTCAAAAAGAGATCACTTTCTAAAAGATCCATAGCTAACATGAGTCTTAAGTTTTTCCTTTACAATTGCTTCTTTTCATTCTAGAAATATACTTAAGACCACTAATTCCAAAAATAAAAAAAGGAAGTAAGGCTTCCTTGGGTCTGTCTTTTCATTTGAGATACTATCTTCTCTACCTCCTTCCAGAGTCAAAAGAGAGACATTGTTTTTATGGTGCTGGCACAGTGGCTTGTATATAATAGGTATACAAATATTTAGTTAACAAAGAACTAGTTTAAACTATTTACCTCTTTTTCCCTTTACTTCCTCGCTACCAGCTGTGTAAACCCAAACACTCCTAACCATCATTTACTGAAACTACTTTCTTAGGGTCACCAGCAAAGAAACACAAGTGGCTGGAGTGTGCCTGGTCTGAATCTTCATTCCATCACTCCTTTACTCTTGAGCCTTGGAGAAATTTCCCCAATATTGCCATAGCTCAGTTGGCCCTTTTATGGAATTGGAATCATTGTGTGGATTAAATCTGGTAAAATAGATCCATACTTAACACACTATGTTAGAAGCAACAAGCAATCAAATATGATGTAGTGTCACTTTTTATTATTTCACTCCATCTATATACAATTCCAACACTATTGGCAATATTGGTAACCTTAATAATACATTAATAGATCGGCATGTACTTTTAATTTTAAGCTTCTAGTTAAATTATTATGAAAGTCAATGAAGAAGGAATTATCTTCAGCACTCTAAATCAGATAGAACTTAAAATACTTTGTTCTTTCACAGCTTTTCCAGAGATAAACTCAGGAAACTCATTTGTGCAGGGAAATACTTCTGCAGAAAACAGGAAAAAAAAAAAAAAAAAAAAAAAAAAAAAAAGCTGTTTGCAGACAAGACCAAACTGGAAGCACAAGAGCTCGAGCATCACAGGCTGCCACGTGACTTGCCAGTGTGTAACAGCTGCTAGATTAAATAAGCAGGAGTCATTGGCTAGGCTCACTCATACTTTGAGACTCCCTTTATGAAGAATACTATAACCTACCCTCAGAATATATTTTTCGTTATGAAAAGCTATGTTTCAGCTTAACATAAACAGTTGAGCTCCAGCCAGTAGCAGATACCTAACAGAGTAAACCACGAGCGCTGTAACAAATGCCTGGCTAGGACCGGAGAGATGGCTGATGTGCAGTTACAAGCACCTGTTCTTTCCGAGGACCTATCCATTCTCAGAACCCATGTGGTGGCTCACAATTATCCAGAACTCCAGTTCTAGGTGATCCAGTGCTGTCCTCTGGCCTCCACAGGCCCTACCACATACACAATGTAGACATGCAAGCCTACTTCTACATATAAAATGCATCTTTAGTTTTTTAACTCGTTTAAAAATGCCTAGTGCCCAGTCAGATTTCTCTGTCTTATTTCTGTGTGGAGCATATAAAAGTCTGTGGCTGCATTGCTGGCTGGAGCTCTCTGAGCTGCTCCTGATTCTGAGGGTTGCCTGATTCAATAATTACTCATTTCTCAATAAACCCTATTAAATTTAATTTGTCTCAAGTTTTCCTATTAATTGGTACAGTATTCCACTGAGATCATTTCATAACAAAATGACTTTTAGTTTCTTTTGTAAGTAGAGCATTATTAAGTTATGGGGAAGTGTTAATGAAGTTGAAGCCTCTTATTCATTTCTTTAACCCATAATTATTTCCCTCCACAGCAGCTGGGACAGTTCACACAGAGGATGGAGCCGGTTGGCACTGGGGCATGGATGGGGCTGCTTCATTTTATTAAATCCAGAATCGGAAGGTCATGTTTTAATTTTATTACATCAGTGTGCACATGCACCCATGCAACATGCCCTTGCATGGCTATGGAGGCCAAAAGACAACTTTCATGACTAGGTTCACACCTGCCACAACGGGCATTCCATTCACGTCATCGGACCTGGCAGCAAATGAATCTAAGTTAAAGTTTTCTTTTACTTTTTATTACCTTTGTAAAGCAACACTTAAACGAAGAATAATTATGTGAGCAAGCATCTGTACATAATGGAGAAAACAAATCATGACCCCCCCCTTTTTTTCTTTGTGGGGTTTTTTAGACAGGTCCTCCAGTAGCACAGGCTAGCATCAAATTCACTATGTAGCTAAGGATGAACTTGAATTACTGATCTTCCTGGCCCCATTTCCCAAGTGCTGGGATTACGGGAATGATATCATGCTGATGTTAATCAATATATAGCACAAAGCAATGGTAATGTGGCTAGGGTTTTCCACTTACTAAATAATACAGTCTAAGAAAAACTTTTAGGAAAGCTAAAATGCAAATGTTGCAAAGAGCAACCATAAATTTCTCACTTTTCTTTGCCCTTTGCAGTGTCCTACTTTGCTAAGATTCAAACTAGTCCTGGAGAGACAGAGTTCTCATGTTAGCATTGGGAACAGAATCAGGGCTGGTGCTTGTGGCTAGGACATTCAAAAAGTTGCCAACATAGCTAACTGTCTAAGCATACATGTTTGCCCTTTCTTTGTTAGGGTTAAATGCTTTGTTTTTGTCATCTTGCCATGATATTGAATGAAACTTAAACACTTTGCAATTAAAAATCAAACCAGGACTTGTGGCAGCTTAAAAAGCTCAGTCCCCTGAACACGTTGCAATTTGAATCAGTATATCTCCATTTGGAAGAAAAAAGAAAAGTCTGTTTTAAATAGTTTCAGTTGAAAAAGTTTGCCGTTTGAATTGTTAGAGGTTCACAAAGGTGAAGATGCTGGAACGATGAGGAGCTCTTTCTTTGGTCTGTACAATCTGCTAAGCAATCTGGAAGTTTTTATACACACAAAAAAAAATTAATTAACTTTTAACTAAGATCCAGTCAAAATTTATGTTTTTACACTGAACTCCAACAAAAAGCTCAGCCTTGTTCCAAATTTTCCCTTACATAGCCACTAGCCTAGTGGCTCACTCAGTTTAATTTCCAATACAGAAACCATTTCAATGCTATGATCTCTCCGGCATCTCTTCCCAGGAGGTTATTAAGCTAAGTCTGGTTTCTTTCCAGGCCTCTTTTGCTGTGATGGTCCATTTGCAGAAGCTGGCAGCCAAGCAAGGCCCATGATGATGCTTTGAAGTGAAGCCGTTATAAGTAGGGCAGTAGAGAGGGTGACAGAAGTACCGAGGCATTGGGTGGCAGCAAGTAGGGAAAGACATTTTCTACTTTGTGAAGCTTTCTTGTTTCTTTTCTATTTTTTTTTTTTTTCCTTTTCAAAAAAGAGATAGTGATTTCCACGACAGGAACATCTCATGACCTAAAACTTCACTAACAACATCCCATGCCTAACAAATTCTGCACCAGATACTTATCCCCAAGCTGCCAAGTATTATTTGTCCATATTTGGGGATTTTTTTCCATTCCCTGTCTTTCACCTGTGAATACTCTCAAGAAAACTCTTAGAAAAGGAGAGAACTGAATCAAGATCTAAAGCATAGTTCAGCTGTACTCTCTCACAGCCTCGAGTCTCAGGAAGAAAGGGGCGGCCATCTGCCCAACTCTGTTGTCGGGTATTTGTACACTGTGTGAAGATATATTGCTGTGGTTGGTTTAATAAAGAGCTGAACCGCCAATAGCTAAGCAGGAGGTATTGGCAGGACTTCCTGGTAGGAACAGGAAGTAGGAGGAGATAATCTAGATCCACAAAGATGCCAGGAGAAGCTGGAGGTGCAAAATGGATGCAGGGCAACACAAGATAGAATGCAGATTAATGTGTTGATATCTTGTTTGTACAAATAAAGGCTGTGTGAAGACCACAGGGTAGAGCGTGCCAGTAGCTAACTACAGAGGTCTGGAGGTCTGTACAGACAACCTGTACATGGGTAACTTGTTATAAGAGCTAGTCGGGGGCCAGCCTTGGCTACAGGCCAAGCTTTCACGATTAATAAGAAGTCTCGGGGCCTTGATTTGCGGGCTGGCGAGAAACGACGAGTGCACAAGTCAGCTTGCTTTAGCTTGCCTGTTTACTTAGGTTCTGCCTCGGCTTGCTCCAGCTCACCTCCGCTTAGCTCAGCTTGCTTCAGCTCACCCCACTGGAACCTCAGCCCGCCTCAGTTCACCTTAGAGCCAGCCCCGCAGTATACCTCAGCTTACCTCAGTTTACCCCGGTTTAACCTCGGCCCGCCTCAGTTCACCTTAGAGCCAGCCCCACAGTATACCTCAGCTTACCTCAGTTTACCCCGGTTTAACCTCGGCCCGCCTCAGTTCACCTTAGAGCCAGCCCCACAGTATACCTCAGCTTACCTCAGTTTACCCCGGTTTAACCTCGGCTCGCCTCAGTTTACCTTGGCAGACAACCGCCCACTTTGAGCGAGCTGACCCCAATGGGCCGCCCCGCCCAGGCCCCGCCCCGACCTCAGCCCGCCCCGCCCCGCCCCTCCCGCCCAGGCTCCGCCCCGCCCTCTTCCGCCCAGGCCCCGCCCCGACCTCAGCCCCCCCCAGGCCCCGCCCCGACCTCAGCCCGCCCCAGGCCCCGCCTGCCCCAGGCCCCGCCTGCCCCAGGCCCCGCCCGCGCCCGCCCCGGCTCCGCCCTCGCTCAGGCCCCGCCCCCGTTCCAGGCCCCGCCCCTCCCGCCCAGGCTCCGCCCCGCCCTCTTCCGCCCAGGCCCCGCCCCGACCTCAGCCCGCCCCAGGCCCCGCCTGCCCCAGGCCCCGCCCCCGCCCGCCCCGGCTCCGCCCTCGCTCAGGCCCCGCCCCCGTTCCAGGCCCCGCCCCGCCCGCCCAGGCCCCGCCCCGCGTTCCGCCTGGTTTCCGTCGCGAAGGACGCGGCGTCGGTTGGTTGTCAAGATGGCTGCGGCGGGGTCGCAGCCGCTAGCGCCGCTGTCGCCCCGCGAGGTCGCCGCCCTCACCGCTGCCGTCGCCACCGTCGCCGGGGCCGCGAAGCCAGCGCTGCCGCGGCCGAGCCCGTGACGCGGGGCGGGAGACGCGCGGGGCCGGGAGCGCCGAGGAGGAGGGAGGCCGAGCGGCCATGCGGGCGGCGCTGGGGTGAAGGATGCTGGCCGGCAGGCCCGGAGCCCAGAGCGCAGGCGCGGGCCCGGGAGCGCGGCCCTCGGACCCGCTGGGCGCCCGGGACGGCGGGCGGCCGCGACCCGGCGCTTTCCTGTATCCTTCCCGGCCCTCGGCGGGGCAGCGCGCAGGGCAAGGGGCCTGGCAAGCCATTCTGAGTAGGGACGTTCGCTTGGGCAGCTGCGCCCACCCCGAACCCATCCCATCCCACCCCATCCCGACCCACCCCATCCCACCCCATCCCATGCCACCCGACCCCAACCCATCCCATCCCGACCCACCCCATCCCACCCCGAACCCATCCCCGACCCCATCCCATGCCGACCCCATCCCACCCTATCCCATCCCGACCCATCCCATCCCACCCTGAACCCACCCCCACCCCGCCCATCCCACCCGACCCCAACCCATCCCACCCCATCCCATCCCGACCCCATCCCGACCCCAACACATCCCATCCCACCCCGAACCCATCCCGACCCACCCCATCCCATCCAGACCCCATCCCACCCCGACCCCATCCCACCCTATCCCATCCCACCCCCACCCCGCCCACCCCCACCCCATCCCACCCTGAACCCACCCCCCACCCCGCCCATCCCACCCTGAACCCATCCCCGACCCACCCCATCCCATGCCGTCCCATCCCGACCCATCCCACCCCACCTGACCCATCCCACCCTATCCCATCCCACCCCCACCCCGCCCACCCCACCCCATCCCATCCCGCCCCACCCCATCCCATCCCGCCCTGCCCCATCCCATCCCGCCCCATCCCAATCCCATCCCCCCACCCCATCCCATCCTGCCCCATCCCACCCGACCCACCCCATCCCACGCCCACCCCATCCCACCCGACCCACCCCATCCCACGCCCACCCCATCCCACCCTGAACCCACCCCCACCCCGCCCATCCCACCCTGAACCCACCCACCCTGGCCCGAAGTTAGACGTTCTTGTCCTATGGTGTGACCCCTCGTCCCCTGCCACCCGGGCTCCCCACACCCGGACCTGGACTTGGCTGACACATCTTTGTGAATTTTGAGGTGCATCGGCCATGAATTAATGCTCTTACTTTCATACACTCCGTGCTGACTCGGGTCTCTTAGAGAAACGCAGAGAACAATCTTGCGCTGTTCTGCTTTAGTAGTTGACCTCCCACCCCGTCCCCCCCCCCCCCGGAGCTGCTGAACCCAAACAGGTTCTGATCGTTTTGTTTCCTCCTCTGCCTATTCTGTGGTCCAACAGAGGAAAGGAAAAGCGGGGGGCCCGAGCCTTGACAATCTGGATTATTTCTGATTTTTTTTCCCCCTAAGGAATAGTTGAGCTCGCATTTGTTGTTACTGTGGTGGGAATGTCAGTGAGCTTTGTTTTAAAAGAATATAGAGCACTTTTATTCTTCAGAGAACGCCGTGATAATTAGAATTTAGCCTTTGTATTCTCAAAGGACTTTGGCTGATGGCGATGATGGAATATCTTCAGTTGGGTTCCTTCCACCACCACCAGCTCTCTCCATCTCCTTAGCTCCTTAGGTCCCAACTTCTTCTGGAATTACAGTTTTAACAGCAAATCACCAATTTTCGCTGAGGGGCTCTTCATCACCAGACCTTGCTTTGGGTTCTAAGGACTCACACATACCTACTAGAGAAGACAGGTGTGTTAGGGCTCCATTAATGCCAAAACACCCCCTCAGATGGTGCTTCCCCAAGCTTCCCTCCCTAAGTCCTTTGTTCACTGGGACAGCAGCCTGCAATAGCAGCTGCTAGCTCTTGTCATCTTGTCATCTTGTCCTTTGCCTTTCTGCTGTGGTCTGAAGTAAATACTACTGTCTTATGAATTTGACTTTTCATGCTTGACACTGTATTTTCGTCTTTCTTTTTCAAAACAGTGTTTCTCTGTGTAGCCCCTCGCTGTCTTGGAACTCACTCTATAGACCAGGTGGGCTCCTGAACTCATAGAGAGCCACCTGCCTCTGCCTCCTGAAAACTGGGATTTAAAGGTGTGTGCCACCCCCGATGACATTATATACTGAACTCTTAATATAGTGCCCCTAACTTATCTCTAATTCAGAATACAAGAAAATGGCTCATTGACAAAACATCTATCTCTTGCATTATTTTCATTAATGACATACCAGTTTTTTAAAATCTATGTGATAGGAATATTGAACTGAGCAAGAATGAGTAAGGAGATGGATTTAAAAGGCACTGATATAGTTCAAGAGTATTTAAGTGGAGACAGTAGTAAGAGGGTATGGTTTAGTAGGAAATGCATTGTATGGCAAATAGTTACTTTTGTTGATAACGTAAATGGAAAAAAAAAAAACTAAGTGGGGAGGCGAATGCCTGTAGTATTCTTTGTTATTTTTTAATATTAACTACATAGAAATTACATCCTTGGAGGTAGATGTTTAGGGACAGTTGTTGTGATGATGCTTACAAAAAGTATTTGAGCATCTTAAAAACTTCAATACCATTTTTAAGTGGTGGGAAGAGAAGCATTCTTTATGGCATAGTAAGTAAGATCACACTGCACTATTAAGGATGCCCCAAGTAGTGTATCCGCTAATGTATGAACTAGGTTTTCAGTGTAGTATAATTATCTGGATAAATTTAGGACTATATGGGTTTCAGAACATTACATTTGTGATTTTCTATATGTTCTTAAGGTAAGATCACAAACATATTGAGCAAAATTGTCCTCTCCTCATGCATCTACCCCCATCCTTCCCATCTGGCCCAAAGAGTCCCTCCTGCAATGTTCTCTTGAAAGAACAATGCTATATTTGCTTCTGCTGCTGACTTTGAAAAGCTAACCATCTTCAGGGTCTGATCCTAATAGAGGACTCAACCAGAAAAGGAAGATACAGCTAGACCTGTTTTAGTGCTGTTAAAATTACATTCCCTTCCCTTTTACATAATTGTTAAAAAGCCTTTGAAAGACACCTTTAAAGATATTATATGTGTGTCTTTGTGTTTATGTTAATCACAGAATTTTAGTTAAAATGAAAGCAAAATTAATTCTTGCCTGTGAAGGAAGTTGATAAAATGACAAAACTATTAAAAACAAGTAAGCTCCCCATTATAAAGGGATCAAACACAAAGTTCAAATGAATATTATTTTGAAATACCGTCTCTTTTTAATATTCATGCCAAAACACTATAAGGTCCTGGAATTGACACATTTTGAATTAACAAATCATATATATCAGAACATTATTATATATATTTATTGTAGTCTACATTACTGTCAACAAACAATTTTGGACCTCAGTTTTTTGGGAAAAGCTTTTGAACGGCTGTTTATTATAAAACAGACAAATAGTCATGTCATATGATTTGAAACTTTGCTGAAATCTCACTCATTTCATAATGGGGTGGTGTAAATAGTTAAAGTCAGCAGTTCTCAACCTGTGGGTCACAATTCCTTTGGCCTTCAAGTGACCTTTTCACAGGGGTTGCATATCAGATATTTACATTACAATTCATAACAGTAGCAAAGTTACAGTTACTAAGTAGCAGCAAAATTTATGGTTGAGGGTTACCACAACATGAGGAACTATTGAAGGGTCACAGGGTTAGGGAGATTGAGAACCAGAGTTAAGTGGTAATTCATTGACCATTTATTGAAATTCAGAATCATGAAAACTACAGGAATGGTGTGATGACTTATTCTTTACTCCCCCCCCCTGTTTTTTTTTTTTTGTTTGTTTGTTTGTTTTGTTTTGTTTCCTGTACTTTTTTCTGTTTTTACTTTTTTTTTTCTTTTGTTCTTCCAAGACAGGGTTCCTTTGCATAGCCCTGGCTGTCCTGGAACTCGCTTTGTAGACCAGGTTGGCCTCAACTCAGAAATCTGCCTGCATCCCAAGTTCGGAGACTAGATGTGCCACCACCACCGACAGGGCTTTCCCAGGGCCTTTTCATAAGCCATCAGCAGGGATTTGGGAGGAGGAAAGCTTTAATCCTAAACACTGCAATTTTTTATTTTATACTGTAGACTAAAGGATCTGTTGAAACATTTAACTCATCTACTCCCTGTTACTAAATCTTTCATTTCCTTACATATAGCCCCAAAAAATACCTTGCCAGTAGCTATCCAAATATCTGATAATGAGCAAAAATATGCATTTTTATTAAGTTCATGATTTCTAAAGGTGATTTATTTTCAACTCTGGGAAAGTCTGAAGGAAAAATTTTTTATCTTTATTTTTTATTGTTATTTTTTCTTATTTTACACATCCATCCCAGTTCCCTCTCCCTCTCATCCTCCGATACCCGCAACCACCCCTTCACATCCCATTCCCCACCCACTCCACAGGGAGGGTGATGCCTTCCAGGAGGGATCATCAAAATCTGTTAAGTTATTTGGAGTATGATCTAGGCCCTTCCTCCTGTCTGTAGGTTAAGGGAGTGTCCCTCCATGGGGAATGTGCTCCCAAAGTCCTTTCTTGCACCAGGGATACATCCTGGTTCCACTGTCAGAGGTCCCTTAGACTGCCCAGGCCTTCTAACTGAGACCCATGTTCAGGGGGTCTGAATCAGTTCAATGCTGGTTTCTCAGCTATCACTCTGGTGTCCATGAGATCCCCCTTGTTCAGGTCAGCTGTCTCTGTGGGTTTCAGTAGCCTGGTCTTGACCCCTTTGCTCATCACTTCTCCCTCTCTGCAACTGGATTCCAGGAGTTCAGCTCAGTGTTTAGCTGTGGGTGTCTGCTTCTGCTTCCATCAACTACTAGATGAGAGCCCTAGGATGGCATATAAGGTTGTCATTAATCTCATTATCAGGGAAGGACATTTAAGGTAGCCTCTCCACTATTCCTTAGATTGTTAGTTGGGGTCATCCTTGTAGGTCTCTGGACATTTCCCTAGTGCCAGATTTCTCTTCAAACCTATAATGGCTCCCTCTATTATGGTACCTCTTTTCTTGCTCTCCTCTATTTGTCCCCCAACTCAGTGTTCCTGGTCCCTCATGGTCTCCTCTCCCCTTCTCTTCTCCCCTTCTCTTTCTCCTATCTCCCTCTCCACTCACTGCCCCCTCCCAATATGCTCAGGAGATCTTGTCCCTTTCCCCTTCTGTGGGGGACCTCGTATTCTGCTTTTAGGGTCCTTCTTGTATCCTCGCTTCTCTGGCAATGTGAATTGTAGGCTGGTGATCATTTGCTCTATGTCTAAAATCCATATATGAGTGAGTACATACCATGTTCTTTTTATGATTGGGTTACCTCACTCAGTTTCTTCAAGATCCATCTATTTGCCTGCGAATTTCAAGATTCCATTGGTTTTTTTTTTTTTTTCCTGCTGAGTAGTAGTATATTGTGTAGATGTGCCACATCTTCTTTATCCATTCTTCAGTTGAGAGGCACCTAGGTTGCTTCCAGGTTCTAGCTATTACAAATAATGTTGCTATGAACATAGTTGAACTGAAGTCCTTGTTGTATGAATGTGGATCATTTGGGTATATGCCTAAGAGTTGAATTGCTGTATCCTGTGGTAGACTGGTTCCTATTTTCCTGAGGAACCGCCATACTGATCTCCAAAATGGCTGTACAAGTTCGCACTCCCACCAGCATGGAGGAGTATCCCCCTCCCTCAACATTCTCTCCAGCATAAACTGTCATTGGTGTTTCTGATTTTAGCCATTCTGATAGGAGTAAGATGGTATCTCAGAGTTGTTTTGATTTGCATTTCCCTGATGGCTAAGGATGTTGAGAACTTAAGTGTTTTTCAGCCATTTTAGATTCCTCTATTGAGAATTCTCTGTACCCCACGTTTTAATTGGTGTTTTCTTGAGTAGCTTCTTGAGTTCTTTGTATGTTTTGGAGATCAGCCTGAGGGAAGATTATAGATGTGTATTTGTGTGTGTGTGTGTATGTGTATATATACATATATGTATTTACATATACATATCATTTTGCTATCATATACTAACAAATATTAGCTGTCCCACAAAAGCATTACCATGAGGCTCTGATTACATCAGTCTTGAAACTTAACCACCAAAGATGTAAACTGTTGGTCTTAACTAAATGGCATCACTAGAGATATGAAAATCCATCTGGAGAAAAATTTAGAAGAAGAACGCCAGATACTACTACAGCAACAAAAAATATGCAGGAATCGAGCACGTAAATATTTCATGGAGTCAAACCGGAGAAGGAAGTAAGTAATTGTATTTTATTCAGAAATATAGAAACTGAAAGATACTCTAAGTTAATAGTTTGTCCACTTTGAGGTGCTTCCCAGACCTGAGTCATGACCATAGTTTATTTAAAGATCCTCATGATTTTGTAAGTTTTCTTTTTCTGCCTAGAGGACTGTGATGGAAAAATTTAAAAGGTATAAAATTGGGGCTTATGGCCAGAAGGGAAAACTAGAGAGAACAAGAATTTCTGCCAGTAGATAACTCCTTGACTACAGAGTACAGAGCCCGCATGCTGTTCTCGGGAGATACAGAAGAAAGCCAGAGCCCACCACCAGCATCCTCCCTGTCCCATTATCTCGAGAACAAGGCCACTGAGCCTTGTAAAGAAACTTTGTACTCTGTAAAATCTCTGTAACCTTGGAAACCTTGGTAGCTGAGACTAGTGGTCTCAAGTCTCCCGTTCCCTTTTTCCTTTTAAACATGCTTTACAGTTGTAAGTGGGCGCCTTACCCTTCCGATAGAGCAAAAACCTATTGCATTTGCAGTTGGGAGTCAATTCCTTGGAAGTTGAGAGGAATCCCAGTAGGCACAACAAAGATCACATCTATTTTCTAGCTACTAATTGTGACTATCATGGTTTTTTCTTGTTACAAAACAGTTTGTTACACTGACAGCGATGTTTATTAAAATGACTGTGAAATATATTAATGTCTTATTGGTTTCATATCATATCATAATTAACTAAAAGATCAACAAGTATTTAACTTCAACTAGACTATAATGACTTGATTTACTCTTCAATTCATATAACTTATGTGCTAAGCTTCTCCATTCAATTACAGAAAGAGGAGAAAGATGAACACTGATAGGATGCCTTAAAAAAAGTATTTATGTCATTACAGACAAAGCTGTCTGTGGAGATTATAAACTAAAATAAAGTAAAATCAAAAGTGTCCAACCACTTGTTATCATTTTTAGGATTTTTAATAATCAAATTGTTTCGTTTCTTGAAGACAGGATTTTTCTATGTAGCCCTAACTGTCCTAGAACTGACTCTGTAGACAGTCTGACCTCCTGCCTCTGCCTGCAGAACGCTTCAAGACATGGCTTAACATTGTAAAGGCATTTTCATGTAAGTGTGTGTGAGTGTTTGAATGTATGTAAGTTCACTCATGCATGCCTGACACTTAACAGAGACCAGAAGAAACTGTCAGATTCCCTGAAGCTCCAGTTCCAGATGGTAGTGAGCCTCCTGTCCTCAGCAAGTCCTTGGCAAGTGCTCTTAACCACCAGGCCATCTTTCTAACCCTGCTGCTTAAAATTTGTATTAAATTGTTTAAGGCAAGGTGGTTATACAATTTTTAAAATTTCTATTGGAGCCTTACCCATATTCCTGTACTTCATAGTAGTGGGAAATCCCTGGAGTTATTAACTCTATCATTGGACATATGCTACAAATCCCATCTGGGGGATGCAGAATTGTTTACCTGTCATTTTTCTCTGCCTTTGTATTTCTTTTGTGCTTAATCCTTTCATTATCCAGCAATGTTAAAATTATTCAATGAATATTTTGATCTTGTTTGTATGTTTCTGCTCTCCTGTTACCTTTTGACTCCTGAAGGTCATAGAAGGCACATAACAACTGTCTACTGTAGAGATGATTATATATGTTTATCTAGTTTATGCTGTCTACTCAAGTTGGAGTCAGAGAATTGTAGGTTTTCAGTATTTAGTATTTTCCCTTCAGATAGAAGAAAAATACCTGCTATTTTTTTCAATTATCTTTGGAAGTTATGTTTAACTACTTAAAATGTCATAGACTAAGAATCTCTAAGAGTTCATATTCTAAAACATAGAAAGTAAAAGACATTATACCCTCAAATTGTTAACATTATAGTAATGAAAGATGACAGTCAGTAAATTCTGTGATTAAATTTTCTGTGACATAGAACAGAAACACATCTCATAGACTGTAGGACAAGGAAGAGTCCCTGGAAGAACAGTTAGCCACATGTTAACCAAGGAACATACAAGGAAAGTCTATGTTAGAAAATGTGGCAGAAGATGTAAGTGCTGTGTGGAAAAATGTGGATGAGTATCAGATGACAGAGATAATTTATGAAATAATATCTATACCAATCTAAAGAAATTAAAGAATTTGCCCCATGCTAGATTATAAAGAAATTATCTTTAGCTTATAATGAAGTAAAATTAGAGATGGTCTATGATCAAATTTGTATCTGAGCTCATTATACCAAAGAAGCAGCAGAATAAAAACAAACAAACAACAGATGTGACACAAACGTTCCATAAGAAAGCTGCTACACTGTCTAGACAAGTGAATGAGCGTGGAGATGAACTTAGACCGTAGCCAAGAGGCAGTTATAAATGACCTCAAAGACAATGGTCAGAATCCTTAGCAGTCAGGAAAATGATGTTTTAATGCAAACCTTTCTAGAATAACTTCAGATTTTAAGCTTCTATCTGCATTGATAAAACTAGTTTGATCTTGTTCCTTAGACTTGTGGGTATAGCTAGCGTGAGATTGCCTGTGCTGTCATATTACTGTATGTCTGCTTGCCTGTGCTCTCCATGCCTTTCCTTCTCTTAAATATTAACTACCTGCACGCTGACTTAGTCAATGGTTTTCTTTATTTAATTTTTTCTTTCCCTCTCCCTTCCATCCTCCCATGCCCCCATAGACCCCCCTAATCCCATCCCCCATCCAACCTCCAGCGAAGGTGAGGCCTTCCATAAGGGATCATCAAAGTCTGTCAAGTCGCTTTGGGTAGGGCCTAGGCCCTCCCCTGTGTCTCTAGACTAAGGGAGTGTCCCTCCATTGGGAATGGGCTCCCGAAGTTACTGCACTAGGGATACATCCTGGTTTCATTGTCAGAGGTCCCTTAGACTGCCCAGTCCTTCCAAAAAATAGCCATGTTCATGGGATCTGAGTCAGTCCTATGCTGGTTTCCCAGCTATCAGACTGGGGTCCATGAGCTCCCTCTTGTTCAGGTCAGCTGTCTCTGTGGGTTTCTGTAGCCTGCTCTTGACCCCTTTGCTCATCACTCCTCCCTCTCTGCAACTGGATTCCATGAGTTTGGCTCAGTGTTTAGCTGTGAGTGTCTACTTCAGCTTCCATCAGCTACTGGATGAAGGCTCTAGGATGGCATATAAGGTAGTCATCAAGATAGCCTCTCCACTATTGCTTAGATTGTTAGTTGTAGGTCCCTGAACATTTCCCTAGTACAAGATTTCTCTTTAAACCTATAATGGCTCCCTCTATTATGGTATGGTTTTGCTTGCTCTCCTCTATTCTCCCCCATTCTTCCTGTTCCTTCATGGTCTCCTCTCCCATCCTCTCCTCCCCTTCTCTTTCTCCTAACTCCTCTCCCCTCTTCCCCAGCTTCCAATTTAGGAGGACATCTTGTCCCTTTCCCCGCGTGTGAGGGACAATGTATGTCTCTCTTAGGACCTCCTTGTTTCCTAGCTTCTCTGGTGGTTTACATTGTAGGGTGGTGTTGTTTTGATCTATGTCTAAAATCCACATATGAGTGAGTGCATACCATGTTTGTCTTTTTGTAACCAGGTTACCTTACTCAGGAAGGTTTCTTCTAGTTGCATCCATTTACCTGCAGATTTCAAGATTCCAGTTTTTGGTTTTTGTTTTTGTTTTTGTTTTTTTTTCCTGATGAGTAGTATTCCATTGTGAAAATTTACCACATTTTCTTTATCCATTCTACAGTGGAGGGACATCTACCTTGCTTCCAGGTCCTAGCTATTACAAATAATGCTGCTATTAACATAGATAAACAGATGTCTTTGTTACATGAATGTGCATCTTTTGGGTATATGCCTGAGTGGAACTGCTAAATCCTGTGGTAGACTGATTCTCATTTTCCTGAGGAACCGCCATACTGATCTCCAAAATGGCTGTACAAGTTTGCACTCCCACCAGCAGTGGAGGAGTGTTCCTCTCCAGCATAAGTTGTCATTGGTGTTTCTAATTTTAGCCATACTGACAGGAGTAAGATGTTCCCTCTGAGTTGTTTTGATTTGCATTTCCCTGATGGCTAAGGATGTTGAGAACTTTCTTAAGTGTCTTTTGGCCATTTTAGATTCCTCTATTGAGAATTCTCTATTTAGTTCTGTACCCCCACTTTTTAATTGGTTTATTTGGTGTTTTGGTGACTAGCTTCTTGAGTTCTTTGTATATTTTGGAGATCAGCCCTCTGTCAGATGTAGGATTGGTGGAGATATTTTCCCAGTGTGTGGGCTGCCATTTGGTCTTGTCAACTGTGTCCTTTGCCTTACAGAAGCTTCTCAGTTTCAGGAGGTTCCATTTATTAACTGTCAATCTCAGTGTCTGTGCTACTGGTGTTATGTTCAGGAAATGGTCTCCTGTACCAATTTGTTCAAGGGTACCTCCTACTTTCTCCTGTTCAGTGTGGCTGGATTGATGTTGAGATCTTTTATCCATTTGGACTTAAGTTTTGTGCATGGCGATAGATATGGATCTAGCTGCAGTCTTTTACACGCCAGCATCCAGTTTGTGACAGCACTATTTGTTGAAGATGCTTTCTTTTCTTCCATTGTATAATTTTAGATGCTTTGTCAAAAATCAGATGTTCATTGGTGTGTGGGTTAATGTCAGAATTTTCAATTCAATTCCATTTGTCTACCTGTCTATTTTTGTGCCAGTACCAAACTGTTTTCAGGACTATAGCTCTATAGTAGAGCTTGAAGTCAGGGATGGTGATGCCTCTGGAAATTCCTTTAGTATACAGGGTTGTTTTGCTATCCTGGGTCTTTTGTTTTTCCATGTAAAGTTGGGTATTGTTTTTTCAAGGTCTATGAATAATTGTGCCAGGATTTTTGTGGGAATTTCATTGAATCTGTTGATTGCTTTTGGCAAGATTGCCAATTTTACTAAGTTTATCCTACCTATCTATAAGCATGAGAGATCTTTCCATTTTCTGGTATCTTTAGTTACTTTCTTGTGAGACTCAAAGTTCTTCTG